AATGGGTGAATTATATCTTAATAATGATGTTTTTAAAAGAAGCAATGGAGAGTGAAGAATTTGATAAAAAGAACAGAACTAAAACACTCAAAACAATAATATATGAGAAGAGAGGAAGAATGACTAGAGAGAAAACATCCTAAGATCCTCATTTTTTTTGAAAGGAGAGGAAAGGGTATTGAATAATCCACAAGACTGATGTCAGATTTAAAATTAAATATGAAAAAATAGAAATATAATCACATAAAGGAAAAAATTGATCATTTCTATAGAAGGCAGAAAAGAAGAAAAAAGAATAACATGACATACAAAAAACACAAAATAAGACTACAGAATAAATCCATCACAATAATGTAAATGTAGTAAATTCACGAGTTAAAAGACTGAGACTCAGATTTAACTTACATAAATCCATTGGTATGTAGTTTTTTAAGTGGCATTTTCTAACTATTTCTGGTAATTAGGATAATTGCACTAGAATATTTTTACTTGTCTTATTCCAGCTTTAAATGGTATCTTTTTAGTATTGCACCAATAAGAAAGATATTTGCTTAGGGTTTTGACTATTCTATTTTGGGTTAAGAACTTTTCTGTTCCTAGTTCACTAACAAAATATGTAAGATACTTTTATAGGAAAAAACACAAAAACTTTATGGAAAGATAGATTACCTGAATAAATGGAGAGAAATAACAGTTCATGTGGGGAAAACAGTAGCCTCTAGTAGAACTTCCCCTAAGCTTATACTACAAATTTAATAAATTCTATAAAAATTCCTAGGGAATTCCTGAAGAGGCAGATCATAAAATCCATTCAGAAGAATAAAGGGCTAAGAATAGCCAAAAGAAAATTGAAACAGGAAAAAAAAAAAAAAAAAGATTCAGGGCCTCCCTGGTCACATAGGGGTGAAGCCTCAGCACTGTCATACTATCACTGCTGGCAGCGGCCTGGGTTCTATCTGGCCAGAGAGCCCACATATAGCACAGCAGACCTCTCCTGTCTTTCCTGCTGCTCCCCTCAGCAGTGTGTTTCAGTAGATCTGCCTGTTCTGCTCCCCACTCTGTCTCTGGTGAATCCTCTAACCACCCCCCACCTCCCACATCTGGCCTACATCCCAGTTCCTCTATGCATAAATAAATAAATCTTTAAAAAATTGTGTGGGGGGTCACCCTTACAGACACCAAAACATACAAAGTTATAGTAATTAAAATACTCTGATATCAATGAAAAGCCCAGAAAAACAAAGATATAAGTGGAAACTTGGAATATGACAGAAATGACATCACTAATCAGTGGGAAAGGATGACTAATAAATGGCACTGGCTCTAAATTCAATAATGTTTTCAAAGGGAAAATTAGATTCATACCTCACAGAATGCACAAAAATTAATTTGGGATGTGTTAAGGAAAAACTGTAAACATTTGACACAGTATAGGGAAATATGATATCCTAGAATAGCACAAAGCAAAATTCATCATGAAGTGATAACCACATAATTAAAAAAAATTCTCAATGACAAATGACATCAATAACAAAGTCAAAAGACAAACATAGACTTGGAGAACATATTTGCAACTTACATTTGCAAACAAAGACAACTATTCAAAATACATAAAAAGCTTCTAAAAATAAACAAGAAAAAGAGAAATAACCAAACACCAAAAAGGCAAAGACTATGAGGAAGCAATTAGCAGAGGAGGGCATTTAATGGCCAGTAGACACAAAATATTCTTGCTTTCACTAGTGAAGGAATGCAAATTTAAACAAATGTATATTATTTCACACCTATCAGAATGTAAAAAAATTTTTGACACTGACCATACCAACAATTGATGGGAATGGAGCAATAATGTGTAGTGATATAGCCACTGAAGAAAGCCATTTGGCAATACCTGGCAAAGTGAAAGCATAGGGGCCTCCCTGATGGTGCAAGGGGTTAAGAAGCAACCTATGAAGCTCACCGCAGCCGCTACAGCACAAGTTCGATCCCCAGCCAGGGAGGTGACCCACATGGCGCAGCAGACCTCTCCTGATTCGCCCGCTGCTCCCCTCAGCAGTATATTTCGGTCGATCTGCCTGTTCTATATCCCGCTCCGTCTCTGGTGAGTCCTTTCACCCCCCCCAAAACTCTGGCCTGTACCCCAGTTCTTGTATGCATAAATAATCTTTAAAAAAAAAAGTGAAAACACAGCCTACGATCAACATGTCCATGCTTCTACGTCTAGAAGTTTCCAAAAGATGCAAGGATCCAAGGAGATACAAACAAAAGGCTCTTTTCAGTACTTTGTGTAATAACTAACATGTGGAAAATGCAATCTCACCTTTGGGAGTAAAAAGAGCTTATAAAATTTGGATTATTTATATAATGTAAGACTATACAGCAGTTAACATAAGGGAACATGGATAAATCTAAACTATGTAATGACAAGCAAAAAAGCAAATATTTTCACATATCATTTATGTAAAATCTAAAATAAATAAGATAGTATATATTATTTATCAGTATGTTGAAGACACCAAACTCATCCTAGTTATGAGTTGTACCTCCAAGTTGGAGAAAGAAGCAGCTCCTAAACCAGTCCTCCTAATATTACATCTCGGGAGGTCTTTGAGCTGACATGCCAAAAGATGACAAGAAGATTTTTTCTTTCAATTTTCTTTTATATATTTTACATTTTTCATTTTTGCACAATGTATGCATTTTCATCTTGGTTATATTCCCCATACAATTCCCACCCCCCTTATTTTGACCCTAATCCCTCCTCCCTCTCCCCCCCCCCATAGTGTGTCTCTGGTTTATAGTTACTTGTTGATTTTGATTTTTACTTTATTATAATTAGTCTTTTTCCCGGTCCCTTATTTAGGTTTTCTAAATTCCTGCTATGAGTGAGACCATTCAGTATTTTTCTTTTTCTTTCTGGCTTATTTCGCTGAGCATGATCCCTTCCAGCTCCATCCATGTTGCTGCAAATGACATTAGTTTATCTTTTTTGATTGCTGAGTAATATTCCATTGTGCATATATACCACATCTTCTTAATCCAATCATTTCTTCTGTGGGCATTTGGGTTGTTTCCATTGCTTAGCCATTGTAAATAGTGCTGATATAAACATACGGGTGCAGGTGCCCTTTTGAATTAATGATTCTGGGTCCTCTGGGTAAATACCTAGGAGTGGAATTGCTGGATCCTATGGAAGCTCCATCTTTAGCAGGTTGAGAAATCTCCAACAGCTCTCCATAGTGGTTGGACCAGTTTGCACTCCCACCAACAGTGCAGAAGAGTTCCTTTTTCTCCACACCCTCGCCAACATTTGTTGTTGCTAGTTTTTTTAATATGTGCCATTCTCACTGGTGTGAGATGGTATCTCATGGTAGTTTTGATTTGCATTTCCCTGACTACAAGTGATGCTGGACATTTTTTCATATGCCTGTTGGCCATTTGCATTTCCTGACAAGAGGACTTTTTGAGAACAACTGAGGCACAAATGAGAATGAGCACTTCCTATGTGCTTAGGTACAAAGGATCCTACAGGACTTTTGGAGGTTCTGGTATCAATGACCAGGTCCTCTCCATGAAGACGCCCTCAGCTAGTGGGCCTCAGAGCATGGTTCCCGCCCTCCCCTGCAGGTCCTGGGTTGTCCCTTACCTGAATTATGCTGGGAAGTCCATATCCTTCCTCAGATGTGGTCATCCCTGCTTCCTTACGCACTCATTGGTAGTGCAGGCCTGGCACCCCAAGTTTTACCTGGTGATTTCTGTAGAAGGTCCTATTACCTAGCATTGTCTCTGATCCATGCCCAGAGCCTATTCAGGGGGTGCTGCTCCCCTCGATGGGCTTAGCTTTCCTCTAGGTGCTGCAGTGCTGAGCAGAGGGACTTCAGTAGGGCCCCTTTGGCTTGGAGTTACAGAACCATAATTCTTCCTGAGTTCCTCCATTAAACACACACATACACATAAGCATGGACACAAACATTCACTATCATAGGCACACAAACACATTTATATGCACATACATGCACCCTTGCACAAATTCATACACACAAAGCAACATACAAACCCACTCCCTTCTTTTCAGGGTTGCTTAATCACTCAAAATGCAATGCTGTATCGGTGGTATAGGGCAGATCTGATGGAGGACAATGGAATAACAGAATTGCTATCTACAAACACATGCCAAAGGACAAAGGGCTGATGCCAAGGCACCACTACAACACAATAGGTCCCTTTCTCAAGGCTCTCAAATCCTGTGATTTTGTTTTTTCTTTTTCACATTGGGAACAAAGTTGGTTCATTTATACTTCCCAGCTCTTATCCCATTATCACCACTACACGGGAGCCCCTTGTCTGGTTTTACTTTCCCCTCTGTACCTGACTCCACTCTCGTGTCCCATCCCTTCTTCCTCTCACAGGCATCCTCTTTAATGTATTTCATATTTGCCTGATTATCATGTACCTTATTGCTTTTCTACCAGGATGGCACAGCAAGATGATATTTATCTCTGATTCATCACACTGATTCATTTTTATTAAGCAGCCATAAAATTTTAAGTGTTGTGCAGGAGCGGCAGCGGCTGTGGCATGTCACACCTCGCAGCCCAATGATGTGAAGGTCGGTTTAATTTGATGGCAGGTCCAGAGGTGTCTATTACATTAGTTTCTTCATACACAGAGCTTGGATCCTGACATTGGACTCTTGTAGGAAAAAAAAAATGTCCTCTAGATCAGGAAGATGCTCATTTGTCACGAGCGAGTTGAGAGTGCTTGCGTCTGCACATAGCGGGTGACTAGCTGCTCCTGAAGACTCCTTCCCCATTGGGGCCCTCTGGCCAAACACTACATGCAGCTCCCCTGGAAGCTGGCCCATAGATGGCAGTCTCCCTTCATCATTCCAGAACCACGAACCTGGAAGGGCAATCTGCCACAAAGGTCTCTTGCTGTTTTCGTCAGGTTTCCTGATATTTAATGCTCGCTCTACTCAGTCTCCCCTTTTCTCCCCACAGGCAGGCTGGATATTCCATAACAGTGGAGGAAATGACAAGACACTTCATCTGGAAGCAAAGTCAGGAGACCCAAGTTGTACCCTCCACCCCCCACAATTGTTTTTGAATTTTAGTGAAGCCCTTTTGCAGAATTGCACAGTAAATGGCAAAAAGGAATGCCTTTCACTATGAATAGTAAAGAAAACCTCAATGTGTCATAATTTGAACAATCACACTGATGCGAGTTTTTATCCTCTCTGTTTTGTCTTACCCACCCCCAATGCTTCCAGCACTCAACCACAGGATATGGGGTGCATCTTTGGAGCAGACTGTAATCAGACATTCTCCCCAAAATATACCCAACCCTCACCCAAGGCCCTCAGAGCCTATTTGACAAGACAGAATCCACAAAGAAAAGATGAGGTGTGAGTGAGTGAGTGAGTGTGTGAAGAATCCACCTACCCCTCCAGTGCCAAGATTCAAGAAGGGGATTCAGAGTGAAAATAAAAGATCAGAAAAAGGTATCTCCTTCTCGCCTTCCTTGCACCCCACTCATTCTGACCCAAGGAACCGAAGGCAGGTGGAATGCAAACCCAGCCCTGGGCCCTTTGGGGAAAGCCTACCCACTGGGTTTCTAATCAGTCAGCACTGCAGGGAAGCACCCACTGTTTATGGAGCCAAAGGGAGTTTCAGTCATTAGCAAGTGTCAAGTCACCTGGAGGATTGTGGTTGTGTGATGCCAAATGGCATTATTAGCATTTGTAAAAACTGCCTCCACAAAAATTGTGGAGCCCAGTGCTGGAGTTTTGTGTATTCCTTTTGAATTAACAAGTAGTATACCTTTTCATCTTATCAACATCTAGTTTCTGAAAAGGATACCCAGTAAGAAAAGGGCTTCTGGTGTGTACTAGAAAGAGGATTTCCCTGCTTCCTCCCCACACTAGATACCTAGTTAGATGACTTGCCTCTTCTTCCTTTTCCAGACATGGACGCTTATGCCTAAGAGTAACAAAGTAAGAGGAGGTCCCAATAGTTATGGCAAGCAAATGGTTGCCACGGTCAGCCTATTCTAATGGGCCATACTTATGACCTAAACACTGGAGCCTGAGGTAGAGGGGGAGTCTCAAGGCTGGTTGAGAAGTGGAGATGGAGGGGGTTGTGGAGGAGCAGGAGGGCAAGGGTGAAGTGGGAGGGAATGAGGGGCTGGTGGACATGGGGGCAGAGAGAGACTGAGGAGTTGCAAATGGAGGGGTTGGGGGAGTGTGAGTTCAAGTGGAAGAGGGTGGAGGTTGTAGAGGTGGAGATGGAGGGTTGGAAGGAGTGATGAAGTTAGAGGGATGCTGGTAAAAAGCCTGGGCATGGAGGTAGAGACAAAGGTGATGGAGGTGGTGGGGTAGAGGTGGAGGGGCTGCTAGAAGGGGAAAAGGAGAAACCTGGCTCAAGTTGGAACTCAGCAGAACAGTGGCCATGATACATAAGCCTCCTCCACCACAAGAGTCTCCTTTGGGCTCTGTCTTGCTGTCTCTTTGCTCCATGGCACACCCTTGGTCACCAGGTATACATCTGAGGAATCAAAGCTGATCTCTTTTTGCTAGGCTGACCTCAGGGAAAACAGTCCCTCTAGTCCAGGGGGTGGTGCTCAAACATACACTTGGTGACTAGAAGCCTGCCAGTCAAGGGTGCTGCCCTCCCAGCACACACCCATTGGGAGCTGAGGTCACCTTAATTTCAGCCCTACTTTTTTTTGAGATGGGAAGGTCTGGTCATTTGTGAAACAGATTTTATCAGGAAGGCCTATTGTCTTAGGAGCCATGTTTATTAATGACCCAGAAAATCAATCATTAGTTGAAACCAATATCCCAAAGAGGCTAGGGATGAGAAATCTGTTGAGAAATAGGGAGAGAAATAGGATTTCAGGTTAATTTCTTCTATCTGAATCAGACCTTAGTCTGTTGGAACCCCATGATGCTTTACCATTCTGCATCCTCTGTTGACCTTGGGGATGTGTACCATCATAGGGAATGAATGCAGAAGGACCAAGAACAATCTTTTCTCTCTTAATACCCTGTCCCTTAGGTGGGGGGAGGGGAGGAACACCAAACCTGTGAATTCAGATCTTCCTCTTCCAATATCAAAAAAGAATTGCCTAAGAGAACAACAATCCTCAAGAATCTAGAAAATAAAGTCTTAGCAGAGTATTTAAATTCTGTTGGAACATGTGCCCAACAGAACTTCCCACTTACTCACCACTGACATTTCACTGGACTCATTCTAGATCTTGAAAGACCAAGGTTTTCAAACCTCCATTATTTTTGCCAGTCCCTCGGCCTAAGTGCACCCTCAACATACTCCAATTGCCTAGATCCTTCTTATTCCTCAAGACTTGTCTCAAATCTTGCTTCCTTCACGAAGCCTAATCCCCCTGGACTGTTAGCGATGCCTGCTCTCTGCTCTGGTGGGCCTGTGCGCCTCCACTGCATCTCTGGTGCACACAGCCTGGTGGCTGAGCTGGTTGTTCCTGAGCCGGCCTTTCTCCTCCACATTCTTTTTTTTAAAAAAAGATTTATTTTTATTTATGCAAGAACTAGGGTATAGACCAGAGGCACGGGAGGGTGCAAGAATTCACCAGAGAGAGAGAGGGGAGCATAACAGGCAGATGGGCCGAAAACACTGCTGAGGGGGGCAGTGGGCGAGACAGGAGAGGTCTGCCGCGCTATATGGGTATCACCCTGGCCAGCCGGGAATTGATCCTGCGCTGCAGAAGCTGTGGACAGCTTCAGAGCGCTGTGCTCAACCCTCTGCGCCACTGGGGAGGCCCACTCCTCCACATTCTTAATTAAGCTTCCTGTGAGAACCATCCATGTCTCAGTGTATCTCCTCTAATACCCAACACAACATCACCCAATTAGTAAAGCCTAACAAGTGTTGATGGAATGTGAAGTCAAGTCATGTTAGCTTATAAAAATAAGCACAGACGTCAGGGCTAATCCCACTCTATTCAATGGAAGATGTACCCAGGATTCACTTCCACAAGGGTCATTTGAAACTAGAAACGAATTAACTATGAAGAGAAAGACAAAGAATGTCCAGCCTCTCTGGAATGCAAAGATTTACTTTGAAAATAAGGAAATGCCAAATTTGGCAAACCAAATGAGCAAATTTAGAAGAAGTTACAGTGGTCATTGCTGCCAGAGTCACAGCAAGGCATGCACTGTCATGGCTGCCAGCAACACCCTGCAACAGCCCTGCCCAAAGTCACTTTACACAATGTCTCAAGAGCCTTAAAAATCTTCATTCACTCTGAATACTCACTCCAAAAAGAATGGTCTGCAAGGTAACAAGTGGTGATGCAAATGAAAATTTATGTTTCCTATTCTGTTTATTATAGCCAGCATGATTTATAATACTGAAAAGTTGATAATAAATTAAATATCCAACAATATGAAAATGTCTCAATAAATAGTGGTGGCTTTAACAGTCACAGTGGTAGCTCTAACAGCTGTGTGTGCTGGTGGCGCAGCGGTGGGCGCTGGGCCGCGAAGCTGCCCACAGCCTCTGCAGCACCAGTTCGATCCCCTGCCACCGGCAAGGGTCCCACATGGCGCGCAGACCTCTCCTGCTGCCCGCTGCTCCCCTCAGCAGTGTACTTCGGTCCTTCTGCCTGCTCTGCTCTCCCCTCTGGCTCTGGTGAATTCTCTCACCCTCCTGCGCTTCTGACTGTACCCAGTGATGAATAAATAAATAAATAAAATCTAAAAAAAAAAAAAGATTTTAAAAAATATTTATCATGGGAAGTTGCACATGATATAATGGTTCACTGAAAAAATAAAAAATTAAATATAAATTAATTGCAAATATGATGTACAGACACATATATGTATGTACATCTACATATATAGAAGCTGCACTATCTGATAAAATCACCCCTAAGCACATGTGGCTACTGAACACTTGAAATATGACTAGTCCAAGATAAATTATGCTCTAAGAGTGAAGTACATATCAAATTACAAAGATTTAGTATGAAAAAATATTGTAAATGAACACATTATTTTTATATTGATTAGATGTCAAATGATAAAATTTTAGACATATTAGGTTAAATAAACTATATTATTAAAATGAATCTCACCTTTTTTTTTTACTTTTTTAATGAGGCTACTAGAAAATATAAAATTATAGTGGTATTTCTAATTCAATTCTGTTGGACAGTATTATATTAGTCAATGGCATTTAAAAAAAAAAAGATGAAAAAAATTGCTAGTTGAGAATATCCCTGGGTAGTTTAAAATTGTTCTTCAAACTTTCTGTTTTATCAATGACTATTTATTTCTAGTGTTTCACTTCTTTGAGGAAAATCTTCCCCAAACTTCCAGACTAGTGTTAGATGCATACATGACTTTGTATACTTTTACTTGACAGCAGTTGCCAGAGTTTGAAATGGCATGCTGTCTGATCATATGGTTTGTGTCAGCCTGCCCCACCCACCCAAGTCCACAGTCTGGGGTTCGTATATGCTTTGCTCACCGTAGTGTCCCCAGCATTTAGCTCACTACATAGCCCAAAGTAAGTATTGAATAAATTCTGCTTGGAAGAGTGAACAAATGAACGGATGTATGGTTAAAGAAAAAAGTACTAAAGAACAGAAAAGTCCAAGTCACATTTACAACTATAAAATCAAAGTAAGTCATCATATAAAGAAGCACTTATAGGGCCTCCCCTGGTGGCGCAGCGGTTGAGTGCTGGGCTGTGAGGCTGCCCGCAGCCTCTGCAGCACTGGTTCGTTTCCCGGCCACCGGCAAGGGTCCCACAAAAAAAAAAAAAAAAAGGAGTATTTACAAATTTCAGTCAAGGGATAGTCAGAAGAGATTTTTGAAGTTGCTGCAGCCAGGAAATACCCTGCAGGGAGGGCAACTGATCCAGGGTCCTGGCCGTTGTGCTCTTTATTCAACCGAGTTCTGAGGCTACTTTTCCCAATGACCAAGTATGTAGGGAAATTAAACCACAAATACCCCATCCTGTAGATGCGGCCTCTTCTGACCAGTGCCTTTGGCTAGAGGGATCCTGTTGGCCTTGTTAGAACTTCCCCCCCTTCCTTCTCTTCTCAGGGATCAGACCTACATGACCATTTGAGGGCTGCCCCTGCGGCCTCTGACTCCCTCCCCTACCCTCATATCCCCTAAGCAATCACTTGCCCGTTTGTGCTAATCTAATCCTGGGCCTTGCTTCTCCAAGAACTGAAATAACATATTTGCTTCCACAATTTACAAATATACATTATGATTTACCTTTTTTTGGTATTTTTTGATTTATCTTTTTGAATGGGCAATACATACAACTGCACAAAATTCAAATAGCACAAACTTTTAACAGGTGGATATATTATAAAAGGAAAGTTGCTCTCATCTTTTTTTTCCCCAGCCACCCATTTACCTTCTAAACCCCATTCCTCTCCCAGAAGTGACTCTGTTCACTCTTCTGTACTATATAGTATATAATTCTTGCTTTGTTT